GCTACTGGCCACAGTCACACACACATACAGTATGTGGGCTGCACAGGAGTTTAAAGAGGGAGAGAAAACACTGACTTTATGTAACGCAGCAATGCTCGGTGTCTGAACTGGGGGACACTTAAAGCCCACACAAGTCACCTAAACTGACCTTGGAAACATTCCTGTGTGAAACAGGCTTCAGCATCAGAAAGCTGGCAGGTTTCATATAAAAATTTCTAGTTGAAGGTGTCCAAAGATCGATAGATTCAAGCAGAGCTGTGCTGTTTAAAAATTTAAAAAAAGAAAAAGGAGAGGAAAAAAAACACTTTTTTAAGGAATCATATTGACCCAAAGTTTTTAGGTAATTGTTGAATGTGATGGCAGGTGAAGTACACAATACAGCATACTATGATATCAATGGGTGGTTGTGACAGCTTTGATTTCCTTTTGCTCTTTTTCTCTCCTGCTAGATCCTGTTTTCTTTCCCTTTCCACACAGAGATCAGAGATCAAGTGTGTTACAGGACACTACTAATTTTTTCTTTAAAAACGGTCTTTGATTCAGCGTTACCGCAATAAAACCTGAACCTGTTTTGGCTTCATTCCAGTGTGTTTGACTTCTAACATTTGAAAGTGACATTTCCTGTAAGTAAAACATTAATCAGGATGAATGTGACATTATTATGTATTTTGAGGGATAGCTTAAGTCCTTGGAAATGAGAAAATAAAAGACTTTTATTGATTGGATCATCGAGATTTTAAAGATATTACACGATAAAAATCAAGCCATATTTTGGCAAAGTAGATAAAGAGTGTGGAACTCTGTTTGTTTGCAGATAAACAGATGGTAATTTTACAAGTCCTCATAAATATCTTTGATTGAAGAAAGGGTTGACATTAAAGACGCCAAAATGGCACAACTTTTGGAAGAGCGTTCTCATTTCAAATGACAACGGAGGACTTCTACATATACTTTTAAAAAGAACAGTCTGGCCTAATGACTCACCATAGTGAGAACAAACACCATACATGATGAGATAAAAAAAGATGGATGGATGGATGGATGGATGGATGAACAGAGCCTGTCAATGCCCCCAAATCTTTAAACGTCCTCATGTCTGCATGTTTGAGACTCATCTGTGAACGGTGTTGAGATGTGGAGATTTCAGGGTGCCTCTGGTGCTATAACTAAATCATGGATTTAATCTTTTAAGCCCCCTTCTACTAAAAATGTGTTTCTTTTTTTTTGTCGTTTGTATGTTTTTATTAATCGTGCAGAATGACATACATGCAGAGATTGAAACTAGAAGGATGTTTCACATTCATCTGCTGGAGGGGGAAAGTTTCTCTGTTCTCATCTTAAATCCGAGTTTCACATATGTTTGAACAATCATCATTCTGTGACATCACAACTGGACAGCCAATCATTGTCCAGCAAGCATTTTACAGAGGTGTGATGTGGAAAAATAGAAACTGTAGAGACATTTATAGTTAAACTTTTGAAACCAAAAATATTTACATACTCATAGAATCTGGATTTTTAAATGAGGTAGGAGTAGATGTACAAGGTCACTAAACTTTTTGTTTTTAGGATAAACCATGATATAAAGCAGAGTATTTTAATGTCTTCAAACACATCCAGAGGGGATCTTTAAATAGAACTGACAAACTATAAATCCCTGTGAGATTATGATAGGCATTACACTACAGTGAATACCGTACGGTGCCATTAAATGTCATAATGTCCTCACTATAAAAGTGGTGCAGTTTTCCTGGGAAATTGAGGGACTTAACCTCATTTTTTTGGTGGAACAGCAAATTGCATAATGTTATATTTCCAAGAAAATCTCCATATTATGTGGAGAAGTACAGGAAACCCTGTAAAAATAGAAAAATTCTACTTGCTGATGCTGATGTTTCTGAAAGATTCAGAACGTAAGGGGCTCCATAATTTCCATTTTTGATATGTTGATGAAATGTTTGTGAGCTCAGGCCAGTCCCTGTAGGATTATTGTAGGAAAGTTAAATCATACTACCATTTTATTGTAATGTTACCACTGGAATTAAAGCAAAGTTATAGACTTACTGCTACCACAGATTCAGCAATGCAGCTTTTGCACTTTGACTTTGTCTAACTCTCACAAATTGATTTAATAGTTGAGTGCTCTGCAGCAGTTTCAGCAGTGAACGCATGGATGCTGGTGAATACATATACAATTAGATAAGAGTGAAATGGGGGGGGGGTGAAGGAATGAAGCAGAGGAGATGAAGGGTTTTTTTTCTGATTTTTCTCTAAATACATTTTGCAGGCACTTAGCAACCGACGCCACAGTGATGACTGTACAGATTGGTCTGATACTTCAGCCTCTCCTCGTAAACCAGCCTCTCGACAGCACAAAAAAAAAAAAAAAAAAGGAAAAGAAAAGAAAAACAAAATGAGGCCAAACGTCATGCCAATGCCAGAGGTGGAAGCACTGATTGGATTCTGCAAACAAACGTGCACCTGCGGTCAGAGCGCATTCACATAGACCTGTCAAATGCTTCAGCTGCTCTCAGAAAACAGTCCTTTCTTCAAGTATCACAGCAAGGCCTTATCTTATCCACTTCAAACACTGATGCCGCTTGTGATGAATCTCTAATGTGAGAGAAATGGAAAACTATTATCTGGACTTGGCAGGTTTCTTTGGCTGCCCAATCCTCCCACACTTCCTGCTTGGAGCCCACGATCTACTTTCTATCTTCGTAAATTTTCCCCATCTCTCCTTGTTTCCCTCGTGATGAATGAAATGGACTTCTTGTTAGCGAAATTCATTCATCTAACACCTCACAAAGAGATGCAGGAACAAGGACAATTTGTACTGTATGGCTCAATCACTGACTGCTCTGTATTGCTGGTTATTATTTTTAAAGAGCTTGTTTTCTGGCCAGAGAATAAATTAGCATCAAGCAATTAACCTCTGTTGTTATTAGACTTGTTTATTATGTCTCAGTTAGCACGATACATATTTATAGATATATGCTGTAAATGTTTGTGTGCCATTGTTTTAAGCCAGATAATTATTAATGTAGCATATTTATACTTAATCACTATATACTGACGTGAACATCTAGTTTCAGATTTTACGCAATCTCTTCCATCGACTCTCTCAGTGTGGTTTGAATTCCCATCAGATATGGAAGCTGATGAGACTTTGGGCGGCACGGCCTCTGATGAGCTGTCACTGAGCGGCGGCGCTGGGTGGAGGTTGCCGTCCATGCTGAGTGCCGAGAAAACAAGCAGCCTGCTGCATGGCCAGGGACCATGAAATGCACAATTAGTCCTGGGTCAATTGCATTAGGGTTTCTCAAAGGCAAAAAGGCAATTAACACGGGACTCTGCGCTCATTATAAACTGAATTTTGGCATTTTAAAGTGGAAAATACACGAGCTAGACTATCCCACTGTTGATCCCACTGGATAAGAGAATAGATAAATGAGAGTAAAGTGAACAGAGCAGGTTTTACAAAGAGGAAATCCTTATCTCAGGGTCAGTCTCGGGTCATACTAATCACTAATAGCGTGCTTTGACCTCTCACGCTTCATGTCTTTATTATTCTTTGCTTTTAATGTTGCTGAGCTTTAAAAAATGGCTCTTCTGCTGAGCATGATTTGACTAAAAAAAAAGTCTCTCTGATAAAACAGTCACGTAAATGACTCCAGTGTTGTAAAGAGCACTTGATTCCCGGTGCATAGAGGGTACCAGGCTACCCTCTAGTGGCACAGCTAAGCGATGGACCGTGTCACAAAATAAGTTGTTGTCTCCCTCAAACGGATAAAGGGTAAACGGTCTACCAAAAACTGATGGGAGGAAAAGTCCTTTGTGGCGTGAAGGCGACGCGGGGGAAGCCGTGCGGGGAATTCCAGTGCGTGAACGGAGGGGGGGGGGGTGTTTACTTTATATGCAAATCACCCCCATCGACACCAGAGGTCTTATTTTAAAGCCCGGGCTCCGCTTTTCTTTTTCTTTTTTCTTTTTTTTTTTTACTGACTTTTCAAGAAAGGAAGCTTTGATGTTGGCAGGAAGGATCGATGCCAGAGAGAGAGCGAGAGAGAGAGAGAGAGCGAGAGAGAGAGAGATAGATAGAGAGAAAGAGGGAGGGTTGAGAGAGGATGCAGAATGAAAATGTACTTCTGGGGGTGTGTGGGTGTGTGGGTGAGTGGTGGGGGTGGGGGGTTCTGCCGTCATCATTGCTCCACTGTTTTAAGCAAACACTTCATGGATCCCGTGAAACAGAAGCATCCTGGTTTTATGTCTGAAGCGAGGGGTGGGGAGAGAGGGAGAGAGGGAGAGAGGGAGAGAGAGAGAGAGAGAGAGAGAGAAAAAAGCCACAAGTGACGTTTCCAGCACCCTAGTCTAGACCCTCCGCATCATCTGCACATAATAAAGTTTGTCGGGTCGCATCGGCCTCGGAGGACTCAGGCTCAAATGTAACTGGTTGACCTTACTGCACCATTTCTTTCTCTTTCATTTAGCACAATCTGTCGGAGCAGTTGCTGTACACGAGGACGGGAATCAAGTGAATGGGTGATCTGAGGTTCTCCGCAACGTCCTTCTGTCATTTGGCCATGTAGGCCTGCGGTGCCGCTGCGGAGGAGCAACTTTATGGGGACACACACACGCACACGCACGCGCGCACACACACAGAAGAAGAAGAAGAAAGGAAAAAAAAAAAAAAAAAAAAAAAACCTCTACCAATTTTCAAGCTCAATGACGAGGTTGTGAAGGATTTGTCTTATTGTGCCAGAATAAGCGCATTTCCCCTCCACACAAAACCGATGGTTACAGATGGGTTGATCATAAAAGGCCAATGAACACTGACTGAGAGAAGTGCAAAAAGTCTGAGGATAAAAAGAAATGATCAGCCAACAAGTCAGATCAGTGCAAAAGAAAAAGCAACAGACACTCTAGAAGCACAGACGCCTCACCGAGGATGCGATCAATTAATGATTGAAAAACGCACGGAATAATCCGCATCTACTTACATAGAGGTGATGTTTTTGAATAACTCTGCTATGTCAACACTGGTGCCATTGTTCCCAGTATCTTGCAGGGCGAGTAAAGGGAAAAACCTGCCGTTGTCGGACTTATTGCAATAGATCTCTGTTTGAGAGCAGCTGCAGGTCGGCGGGCAGTCCAGCATGGAGCTCAAATAGTCCTGGAAAATACTCATCAGAAACAAAACCCTCCACCAGCAAATCCGGATCGAATGAAACCATAGATCCATGTCTCCGGGTAAATCGGGGGGGAGAAGAGGTCCCGATGTCCTCTGTGTTAGAACAGAACAGGAGAGAGGAGAGGAGGAGAGTAGGAGGAAGGAAGGAAGGAGGAGGATGGTGGTGCGTCTGTACAGAGGATGCTCTATGTGAGCGTTTCTGCCGTGGATGGATGCTGTGGTGTCCTTGCGCGTCAGAGATTGCGTGAAAAGGAGGAAAGAAGAAAGAAAAAGGCGCAACAAAAAAGAAAAAAAAAAACGTAAATCAAAAATAAGAAAGCGAAATAATGCGAGGCTCCGGTCGTCTTTTCAGCTGAAGATACATGGTGTTTCCCCGGAATACCGTGCTGCTATGTCGTCGTCTCTTTCCAAGCAGGACCAGGACGACTGGTTGGAGAGCAGAGAGACAAAATGAGAAGTTGGAGCATCAAGTCCCTCCTACCGGCTACAGTCATACTGACACCTGCAGAAACTGCATGCAATCAACAGTGGCAACAACCACACTTATCATACAAGGGTTTCTGCACTATACAGCACAACGACTGTATTATAAGGTCAAAATAAAAAGGAAAACATGAAATATCAATATAGAATAATAGGATCATTCAAATTAATTATTATGCTATTCAAAACCAGGGTAACCATATATTTGAAAAATAAATATATTTTATCATTGGAAATAAACAGAAATCATTTACAAGAATGTTGATTCAGCATCACTGAGCCCTTACAGAGGGAAATAAAAACATAAGTTTGCATTAGTTTTCATGCCTCTTAGGTCAAAGCTGGTGCAGCCAGTTGGTTTTAGAAGTCGCATAAATAGTTCAATGGAGATCACCAGTCGCCTATGTAGAAAAGGGATTTCACCTAACTGCAGTGATACATGTAATTTGGAAGGTCCAACTATTAGTGAGTCTGTATCTCCACCATGAAGACAAAACAACACTCCACAAAAAGGTGACTGCAAAACACACAAGAACATTTCTAATGTGCTGGCGAAAACTTACCCAACCATGTTTTTTCTATCTAATGAACGCAGATCACTCTGAGATCTGTTTTCACTTTTACATGAAAGAGTCTGAGTCAAAGAAGCCACAATAAAACTACTTTGATTCAATATTGTAAATCAATAAAATATGAAAACTTCAGTGTGGTAACACCGCATTTCATAGGCTCTATAAGTGTAAGACCCTGCAGTACATATAAAGGTATCTATAGCAGTGGACCATTTCCAACTCATGGCCCACTTGAAAATCTCTAAAACGTTGGCAGCCCACATCTGACCCTGTAACAATACAGGGCCGAATAAATGCCTTCTCAGAGCACTTTTTAGTTGAATGATAATGACTGAACATTCAGGACTGAACTGAAAGCAGGAGAAACATCTATCTCTTGACTCTTGACTTTTAATTCTTCCTGTTGCTATCCATTTTGATACTCCAGTTTTTGGCACGGATGTGATCATGGGTATCTGACTGAGATATAAACAAGTAGCCTACACGATGTGGTTACTATCATTGGCTTATCACAGTGATAGGCTTTAATACAAGAAAAAAAATGAAAGAAGAAAGAAAGAAGAAAGAACATTATTTCTATTCTAATTATATATACAAACAATGAAATTTCATTTGTTTTCCCACTTGCAATACCTTCACAGTTCCCACAGGTTGGGAACCACTGATCTTTAGTTTTGACAGTATTATAAAAAATTATATAGGAATTTAATGTAGAGTGTTAAATATGAATTTTATTGCTGTGATTTTACTCACTGATTTCATCGATTCTTATTTTACATAATCTGGGACTATAAACTTCTAAGTCAGAACCATCCTCTACTTTCGCTGGTTAAGATGTGAAGTCAAAAATCACATGCTGTAACAATCTGGCCATGTTGATATCTCAAGTGGCAAAATTAACATGTCTGTTCCCCAAATTTGGGAATGAAAAGTAATCCTGGGCTGATTAGAGACTGGATTAAGTCTAGAGACGATACAACATCTGTTTGGTTGTGTCTTGATTTGATTCTATAAAGTTCTGACAGTGAGGAAGCTTCTGTTTCAGTGGGAGGCTGCACGAAAATAATTTAATGTTCAAATGTAATTATCAAGGTAGTTTTGAGACTAGATGGCATCAAATTAAATTGATGCTGCTCTGCATTGTTTATCTGAGAGAGCCCCAGCAAAGCACCACTGTGGAAAATTGTGCTGATGCTTCTTTATGCTGATGCAGTTTGTTTAACACAACTTATTTTCATTTTAACAACACCCCCTCCATTAAAATAATGTACAATATTTACATCAATTTACTGGTCATTTACTGATGGTGTTTGCCTCTATGCACAATAATCAGACTAATTCTGCACTTGCTGTTTTAATCTTACAAAACTCTAAGTTAATATATTGGAAAACATTATCCCACTGTTTATTTCCTCTCAAATCCCCAACTGCCTTCCTATTGACTGTGAGAAACTATAATTTTAATGACAAATTTTCTTAACTGAAACTAGGGCATTATACTATTTCCCCAAGCATGTTCATTCAACTTCTAAATAGAAATAAAGCTAATGAAATCTGAAAGTCAAATATGAATCATCTGAAGAGCAACTCAGTGGAGTGGATACCTGAGTTTTCAGGATATACCACTTCAACGTGCTGCATGTTTCCACTAAAGGTTCTTTTTTTTTTTTCCTTGTATAACAGCTGTTTTTTCAAGCTCTTCTCATACCTGACTGATTTGCCAAATCAATGTTTTTGTCCCAATGTGTGTAAGGGTGTCATGATACACTGGTACAGACGATTACTGTGATCTTTAAAAAATGAAATATTGATATTGTGTTAATAATACACATATGATAATATCATGACGGCAGATGTTAGGCCTTGTGGATCTTTTGTTTATTAGTTCATCTCGTTGCGTTTTCACTCTACGTTAAGTGTAATTGTTCTTTCTGTTCCCTTTTACAGTTGTGGTTACAGATTCTTGCTCCACCTCCCTACACTCATATTTCAGTCTAATTCTTTTTTTCCCAAAAAAGAGACAAAACACACAATAAACAATTGTAAGGATGAATTTGACTGATAGCAGTATTTATTTATTCATTTTTTCAAATTCACTAGATATTACACAGTAACCGTGCAGTGGAAATCTGATGTCAGTCCTAGTAATGGGTACAGAGAGATAAATACAGTCTGAGCCACGACGAAAACATAATCAGAAAAGGAAGGTGTTGTAATAGCAGCATAGTTTATACTGTATTTATATTTATTCATACTATAGATGGTAAAATCAAACTGCAAAATATATATTTATACACACGTGTGTGTTGCAATTTTGTTAAAATGATTTCACAGTGCTAAATTGTTGGCTTATTTTATATTACTATTTTATATTTATTTCATTGCTTTCATTACATTTAAATATTGTAATTGATCACTCCAATATTTAAATAATGATTATTAATGATAATCATTATGAAATCATTTTGTCACATTTAATCTACTGTAAATTTCGTCTGAAAGTCCCATATGAAGTATCTGTCTTTTTGGACAGAGGGCTGGTAACAACCACTTGTCAACCTTCTGACCTGAAGTTTCTTTTTTTCTTTTTTTTTTTTCTTAAATCAAACAGATATGAAAGTCTCTGATCCTATGAGCCTATGAAAGTGTCATCCAGAGTTCTATCAAAATGCGATTGGTTCCTCAGATGCCACGCAGTCCCTTGATCCCATCCTGGAGTTCTATTTGTCTTTGTCTTTGAAATATTTCCATTAATGAAGTTTGAAAAACCCATGAAAGACCTTATCGAGCACATGACAGTTCCAACTCCAATCAAATGAGAGCGGAGCGGAGCCATCACTCTCTTGTTCCATTTAACTCCTAGGAGCCATCACTGGGTTTCAAAATGTCCCAGGCTATCGGACAATCTCCCACACTATCTGCACTTCTCCCGTCAAACAGGCTGCTGTCACCCATCAGTACACCTGTCTGTGGGAAGGCCAACCTGAAGCCAGACCAACTGCAGCCTGACACCAAGCCTCCATCTAACTCCTTCCAGCTCAATCAGTTATCATCCTTCGTTGACCGTCAACCGTAAACCCTATCTTATTTAAAATGTCTGTTTGCTGTGACATCCAACTCCCTTCACTTCTTCAGCAGCTTAGCTGGTCTGCTAGAATCAATCAGGAACACCCAATAAAACTGTACAGCCTTCAAAGGGGCTAGCTGAAGATGAAGAGCTGCATGAGCAGAGCATGAAGTTGTTGAGGACTAATTAAGAGGAGGGAGTGTTCTGCCATCTCTCCAAACTGAGCAACTTAAAAGACGACACACTCTCAGATCTCTTGCACCCCAAAGAAAGAAGCGATAGGCAAGTCCGCGCTACAGAACCAGAGCAAAGCAGCACCACTGTTTAACAGAACATTCAGCTTCTGCAGACACATGTTTGTTTATGCACATAGTTTATGTTCAAAGACCTAACGTACCATAATTCAACAGAGCATCAACAGAACAGCTTGTGGGAAATCAATAATCGAAACTTGTATATCTTAAGATTCATTTAATACTTGTCCAAAAAAACATGTTCTACTGCCCTCTCTGGATGAAAGATTCAAGGGTGTTGCACCTCCACCCTAGTCTCACTAAATGGTATATGAAGAACATGGCATTTTGTGTGGTATCACTGAACATTTTTTGCTTTTCACATCCTTTCTCTACAGCACAGGGAGAGCCATTGTAATAGTTTCCTACCCCTAAACAAAGCGGTGTAAAATGACACGTGGAATGTCTCTGAAAGTGGCATTTTCTATTTAAGAGCAATCCCTTGAGATCATCAGCATCACTGATGATTGGGTGTGGTTACCAGTGATGTCACAGTGTACTGACACACTCTGGAGTATACTTTGTGTTGTAATGTGAGATGTTAAAACACAGATGGTCTGGAAAACAATAAGAAAATGCGTTTTGTTTGTTTTTACTTCACTTTGATGTTATTTTCCAGGTTTGACATCTCCAAAAA